TTCCAACTTACCGTTCTGGAGTTAAATAAGTGTAGTCCGTGGCGCGAAGAGCCGCGCACACCTTCAATTTACATGCGGAACGATCTGCTCCCAGCGGCTGCGGGAAGCAACTTCGACTACATTTTTTCACTTTCCACTTCTAAAAATTTCCTTCTCTGCCTATCCTATTTCCCTAGCCCACCAAACTCCATAACAATCTTTTTTGCAGGAAAAAATGCTGGGACTAGGGGTATGTGAGTGGGGCTACATAAGCTACTTTTGCCTTTAAATCTTTCCTTCGCTCCTAACTAAGGAATGGTAAAAAGACATGAATCCCTGCACGGAGTCTGCGTACAATCCACACCCAAGAATGACCTGTGCTGTTGATGTACAGTTTTTAAACGGGCTTCAAATTGGCCCGCCAAACGCGTTTATTGGGCTGCGCTGATTCGACTGCTGTATATGGAAGTAATACCCTGAAACGCCTAGATGGCGACTTTCACGGCGCCTCAGCCATTGCGCCCAATCCCACCGTCTGCTGTTTAGCAGGCTCACATCACCGATTGACCCACAGGAGAAGGAAGAAAGAGATCGAGAAAGGTATAGCGTGCACCTGAGGCATACCGAGAATTTGACTGATGGGCAATTTTCCGAGCTGGAACATCACTACGAACCGGGGACCTCTATTAGTGGCACAGTAAAGGATCACCGATGCAATTTCACACTCCGTAGATGCGAACGGATTCTTGCAAGTTATTCCTCCTCTAAGAATACCCACACCTTGCTTAGCAGTAAAAAATTGAACAAGTGTAGTTAATTCGGACCCGAAGAAGAAATTTAGCGAATAGCTGACGATCACTGGAGCATGAACCACACTGGACTCTTAAATTTACGCTGGTAGCTGATAGAGATTTGAGTAAGCTGTTTCAATTGGTGACACCGATCCTCTCTTTTTTATTTTGCAGGACTGACTTTAGAGGCTCCAAATTCCGTCGACTTACAATAAAAAAACAACTTTTAAATTTTCAGTAGCCCGACTTTCCACTTTTTCCCTAAAAATTTCACCAATAGGAGGTTGAATTTCCATTCCGTTAAATTTCGTCTACATAAGGTCGAATTTCCCTCAATTGACATCCGTATCCCGCGCAAAAGGCTTTCATGTTGATTGAATTTTATTCTATTTTAGAATATTAAAAAAGCCGTAATCTCATTTAATTTAATATTTTTTAATCACTTACGCCACAATTAAATATTCATTTATATTCACTAGCCAAAAATTAAATGTTTGACCACAAAATACGTTAACCAGTTGGGCGGGGTGAATAGATATTAAGATAGCCCTACAAGGCACTTTTGCCATTTATTTTACTGAACGTTACCTATCTTTTTATCTCTCTCTTTTGGGCTTCGCAGCTCTTGGACACGGTTCATCCCTCACAGGCCATGCTCACCCTCTTCATGCGCCATTCGCAACCTCTCTTCCATCTCTTCGCTATTCAGCTGTCCGTGACGGAAGAAGCCGAACAACAGTTTGCATCGGATGGCAACTCCCTGATGTAGGTGGTTCTATTATACTCACAATTGTAATAGTGAATATTAACGGTGTCTACAAACGTGTGCTTCTAATTGATCCACTGAATACGGGGCCTCAATTGGACACGACAGCCTCCCTCCCTCCCTCCCTCCTTTCGCGTACTTCTGTTGCTTGTCAATATGCTATCCGCATAGCCACCCAATCGGTAGTACCTTAATAGACGGTAAAAATGCGCAAACTCGGCAAGCTTGTTAAATCCACTGTCGATCGGAGATTGTTTAGTAGACCGCGAAGGATGCAATCTACGACATCCTTGTCTGTCCCTTGCAGTGATGTTGGTCTACCTCAAAGCAGGCTGCACTGTTATGACAGACTTAAACGGGCCCCGCACAGCCGTGTAGTACGCTCTATATGAACGATTTACATCTCAGTGTCCGATCTCATGGATCAGGTATGGCGTAACACTTTAAGTCGAACTTTTTAACTCTGCCAACCACTGGGTTTAATCCCATCAAAATTTGGTCGAAAGAATCGGGCACTCGAGAGAGCGAAGTGAGAATAAATCTATTCCTCCTCCACCAAGTTCAACTTTATTGTGAGTTGCCACCGGTGTAGGATAAAGTTAGGCATAAAGAGAGAGAGGACGCGAAATCAGGTGCGACAATGATCCTGCCTCGCCCTAATGGAAATAAATCTTATGTTTCCGCCATTCCCCGGCGAGGTTTTGATCACTGTCAAACGATCTTACTCCCCGAGTCAATGCACTCAGACGGGATATGTATTAGTAGATCACTCACAAATTATTCAAGGTTAGGTGGAAGCGAACACAGCCAATATGAATCGGACAACTTGATGCAGTCAATTCCAATTGGCCTACACGTTAGCCCACGACAGGGTCTTGTATTGGAAAGGCTTTAAAACTAACTGTGCTTTGTACATCTACAATTTATCTGAAAACAAACTGGAGTATCAGAGTCGAAAATGTACACAATAAAGACTATTTTTTTCCAAAGCTCTTCACCTTTGCTCAGTCATTCCCAAAAAAATACGCCCAGGCAATGCAGGGATCGATGAACACAAATGTGTGAATGCATCTAAGGGCCAACTGGACATGCATCTAACATCTCACTCGCCAGCCCCTCGCCTAAGCATGATACCAGACAATCAATTGCAATTATTATACTACTCGTACTAAATGAGTTGCCATGTATGATTACTTTGTAGGTGAAACAACTGCTGCTCCCTCTTCGTCTGCAAGCATGCAATTTTTTTAAACCTTTCCTTTCTATCGATGCATTTCCTAGCCACATTGTTATCGTTAGGGAGCTAAAATGCGCTCTCCTATCTCCTTAATAAAACTACACTGAACCCCATATTGTTTTGTCTTCAGACGCGACCTTGAGTCTGTGCTGCTCGCCCTGCTGAAAGCCAACGAGGATTCGGCGGTTGATCTGCTTCGTGGTTGGCTGGGTCTGGACAGCCTCAACCCCACAACTCTGGAGCCCACGCCGTCACCTTCCCCT